CATATTCTGGGTATTCGCCTGCCTCAGGGGTTTGTTCCAGGAATACACAGTCAGAGGCAAAAGGTAAATTATTGAACCGCAGGATCACATCTTACAATGAGGAAATTATATTTTACCATGTTGAAACACAGTGTCAAAGTGTTAATGACAAAATAGGAAAAATTGTCTTACACCTAATGGCCTCCATGTGGAAAGGAGCAGGTAAACTTCAGATCAGTATGGGATTCTGTGTGTCTTGCTCAAAGACACTTAAAAAAAGTAATAAAGCCAACTTAGTTTACAGAAATTATGTTTATATGCTACTAATCTGGAACAGCAAATATATTCAGAATGACACATTGTGCCACCTGGTGTATGTTTTTTTTCTATTCATTAGTCTTACCATTTATCCTTTTAGGGTCGCGGAGGGGCTGACATTGGGTGAGGGCAGGGTACGCCCTGTACAGGTCACCAGTCTATCACAGGGCTGACACATAGAGACAAACAACCATTCACACCTATGTGCACATTAGAGTCGCCAGTTAACCGGTATGATTGAATGTAACTGCCGAGTTGCTACAGGCCTGTTGTGCTGTCACTTAGTATCTGACTGGCTTAGCAGAGGTTTGGAAACATTGAGGGGTTTAAACTGTAGCTGCGTGCTAAACTGGATCTGACTGCTGAGTCAAAATGAGCCGAGGACCAGCTGAAACCATAGCCTCTAAATAAAAGATGGACGTGGCCTCCGTCACGTCACCCATAGGTTTCTGAACCGTTGCCATCTTGGCAGCGCCTGACTCTGCCCAACTCCCAGCTAATGGAGAAGAGGTGGAGCATATACTCACCCACCTGTCACTCAAAGAGGCCACACCCTCAATTATGCATAACTTTAAGCCTTAATAAAATTCAAACAGGTGAGTTATAAAAAGATTCACCCCTCGTACAGTTGTCATGAAGAAATGAAGAAATTAGCCATAGAGACCAAAACTGTTTTTATACCAGGCTCACTTTTGGAGCCAACCTCTAGTGGTCATTAGAGGAACTGCAGCTTTTAGCATTCCTGTGTTGGCTTCATCTTTCAGCCCTGGAGGTTGCTGCTTGGCTGAAACAAAGTTCCAGATAAATTAGTTGTCTGGTGTTGTCAGAGAACTTCAACATCATGTGGAGCATGCACTGAAGGGACAGTGGAATTATCATTGTTGTCATAGTTTTATCTGTGGTGCTGCAGTGTTACTGGTGTTATTGTAATTTGTATTGTGTTGTGTTCTGCAATATTTTCACTCTTGTTCATATTTCCACATGTAATTTCAGCTGAGCACTGTAGTTTTTAGTAGGGAATAGTGCAGTGTTTGGGGACTATTTTCATTGGTGGATTAGAGACTATTACAAGACTAAGACAGACTCTTTAATCAGTGTACTTTTATTGCCTAAACCTGCGTCATTGTGAAAATGTTTCCCCTGAATGTAATCCAGATAGCAATTAAGTTTCCTTGGAAACAAAAAAGGCAAAACAAATTAGTGTAATATAAATGTAAGATCTAGGAGACAGATTTGTGTAAATAAAATCATGCAAGATAGGAATGCTAATCAAGATAGAGTGTTATCCATATGATATAATTCAGATGTTCATATTATTTATCATCACTGACACTTTAATCCATCAAATCAAATCATCATTGGAAAACAGTGTTTGTCCTCACTTCATATCTAGAAGTGAAGTCACGCACTGTATCTGCAATGTTATCAAAAGAATGTCTGAAGTTGGTCAGAGGGAGAGAGTATAAATACTGTGACAGCACCTCCGGTGATTTTCCTGTGATATTGATACATTTTTAGCAAACTGTAGACGAGGGAAAGCCATTTGAAGCTGTCTGCCAGCTCCTTTGAGACCAGGGTCTATAATCCTCTGTGAAATATCTAAGCCAGACTTGGGCAGCCATGAAATAAACTTAATTTTCTTGTAAATGCTTTAAACAAGAGGCCTACATTTGCCTGTGCAAAGCACATCTCTCTGGCATCATGGATACAGCGACTGACCTATTTGGATTGTGCTTTGAGAATCAGTCTGTTGAGATGGATTTATAGTTTAATGTGATGTAATATGTCACTCATCCTTGTAGGAAGCTGAGTTTTTGCTTCCCTCAAGACTTGAAGATATCGATTATTATCATCATTATGAAGTATTCTACATATTATATTCTATATTTATGTACTGTTCCAGTGGGATCCAAAGCCACTTTTCTCATTCACTTGAATATGAAGGTGGTCAGACTTTTATGTCCTACTGGTTATATACAGTATACTGTATACTATGTACTGTTGTGCCAAGAAAACCGGTGGATTCATGCTGTCGACCATCTGCCTTATTTGAGTTGCTGTAGCCTTTCTGTCAGCTTGAACCAATCTTCTGACCTCTCTCCTCAACAAGGCTTTTCTGTATGCAGAACTGGTGCTCACTGGATGTTTTTTTGTTTGTTTTTGTGTCATGATTGGATAATTGCATGAATAAACAGGTGTACAGGTATTCCTAATACAATGCTCGGTATGTTTTTGTTTTGGTTTTTTTTTACAGCCAGGCATATGCAAAAGCCCTGTGCTTCAGTTTTCAATTTACTAACAATTTAACTATAAAATAGTATTATAAAAGTAACCATGCACAGAGGTGCAGTGAAAGCTGCTCCCTCTTTGTCACATCTCCGTTGTCAGTTGAACTCCCACATATTTATTTGACATATTTATAATATTCACGTCATAAATATTAATCTATAACAAAAATAAAAAATATATACCATAAAATATACTATACTAAATAACCATTGTGAAGTTGTAGGGAACTGATAGTGTTCTATGTCTGCATTAATAAAGTATTCCACTATTTTTGCATTGCACTTCAGTTTTGTTTTGTTGTTTTTTTAAGGATCAAAATGAATGCAGCAGAACCAGAGATACTGCTTTTTTTTTTTCTTTCCACACTTTCTTCTTCCATGTCAAAACCTGGCACCTACATTACCCACAATGCAACTCTGTATGATCGTGGGTGGTGGGAGCTTCAGCCTCGAGCCCCTGGCCTCAAGCAGAGATGAGGAGATTTATTTTTCATTTTCAAACTTATAGTCTTCAGACCCAACCAACGCTGATTCAAGTGAAATCACTTGAGGCAATTTATGCGGCTCCGCACAGCTCCCTCTGGAGTCGCACATGTAACCTTTTTTTTTTTTTTCTTTTGCTTTTTTCCACATATGCAGTCATACTCCTCAAACCCTGTCAACTCTGTAAAATTGGTGGAATTGCCCTTTAAGCCAGCTGTTGTCACTCACTTTTATACAACACATCATTGCGATCATAAAATAATGATTCGATCACGACTGAATAACTTATTTTTTCACAAGTACTGTTACTTGTTCCATTGCATGTTGCCATACTGTGGAATAAATAGGGAAATATAAAAATAAGAACATCTTTACTGTGAGTTTAACTTTAATATGTGATCACAGAGAACAGAATGGAAAGATTTCCTTATTGTGGATGTCGTCTCACTTTCAGGCCACAATCAGATCTTTATTCTTCTAGAGTCAATATTATTTCTCATCCCACTTGAAGCCAGTAAAGTTAAATAAAAGCCATGCATCTTTCAGAATATCTTTTCCCCTCAAATCATTAGCTTTACAGACAAAGGTCTAATTAGTTGGCAACAGCTTTCTTAATTAAAGTGGTGACAACAGTAATGAATGTCAAAAATGTATAATGCACAGGCAAGGTGTCTCTTCCCTTTCTCCTGATATAACATTAAAACCCATTGCTTATACTGTGCTAAGAACTAAACGCAGTGTGTATTGCTGTCTGCCACTGTCTTTTATGATACCTCTGCTTGGAGTCACTGTTCAGAAACTTTCAAATTCTACACAAAGACTATAAATAAAAAATGATCAGCAAATTATACAATGAAGACATTCTGGGCTTCAGTTTATGTCTCTCATAACCTCCCAGTGTAAGACACTGGCCTTAACAACTATGATGTCTGTCTGATTCGGAGCCAATATTAACAGAGGTAAAATTTTCCATTTTACAGAACTTATTTAACCCTGTTGATTTGTGCACTCTAATTCCAATCTTGTGTGGAAACAGCAACTTGGCAGCAAAAATAGAAATGATAAATGGGAATATATGCTCCACTTCTCTGAGTTCCCAGTGGTTTAATTCATAATTTAATATAAAATGTAGGCTATGCACCAATACCAAATTAACAAAAATGTCTCCTAATCATGATGATGCTTGTAACAAATGAAAGGGCTCCCTCACCAATACACATGTTTAGGACAGGTGCCCAATTACTTGACTAACACAAATATACACAAAATATTTGAAATGTTTGAGATAAGAAATACCACTCTGTAAACTAGCATTATGCTAGCTAACATTACTGGCTTAACCCACACAGTTACCCTGCAGTATTGGCCAACTACAAAGCTAATCTACATGATGAGCTTCCTTTAAAAATAAGATCTTATTGGCTAACAGCTAGCTAATTTATAGCAGAAGACTACTTAGGCTATTTACCTAGATTAATCTGATATGATAGTCATGTTAAAACTTTGCCATATCTCACATTATATTTAAATTACTTTCATATTAGCTTAGCTACATAACTTTGCTATTTGTGTCAAAGTTTTGGTTTTGATGAATATTTTTATTTGATATTTTCATCTCCAAATGCTGATGCACAAATCCTACAAGCACCTGCTTTTCTATACAGGCAAAAAGTCTTCATAACAATCTTTAGCAAGGCATGAAAGTAGCAATTCATAGAAATCTACTTGATGTGTTCTTTAAAATATTAATGTAAATCCAGGCATTATGTGGACTTCATTCACCTTTTCACAGCTGAGTTTTTTTTTTTTTTTTTTGTTTAGTGAATATGGCCATTGTCGTGAAAGGGTAGCCTCTCATGTGGAGCCTGCCTCCCCGATTCTTTCCGGTCGCGTCTTTCCCCTCCTTTTCCATGTATTATTCAAGTTGCGACCAAAGAGCTTTGCCGGCTGAGACCGACTGCTTGTTGACGTCACCAAACTTGTCCAGCAGCTGTAGCGGCGAGCAGAGGAGGAGAGGGAATGAGACTGCTGGATGTGGAGCTCGGACTGTGGAGCGCCGAGGACCGTGGGCTTTTATTTCCTTCTTCTACGGGACTGTTCGGACTTCTTCTACGCTTCAGAGTAAGTAAAGCACTCTCCTTTTCCCCTTTACCCTCCTCTTGTCTGTGAGAAGTGAGATTTCTTCCCTGCTGCTCGGAGTTTTAGCTGTCGAGTTTCTCGGCTGCTGCTGGCAACAATCTTTTGTTTATTGCTGCACACTTTCGCTTGTGTGAATATGTTGTCTGCCGTCAGAGCTCGAAGTTGATACTTGTTGTTCCCGTGGACCACTTTTAACTGCATATGTTGTCAGGGAATACGCTACAGTGTGTGTTTCTGAATTAAATTAACTCCTGACCCTAACGGGAAACTTTGTTGCGCAAGTCCGTGCAAGGTGGACTCAAAGCTAACATGTCGAGTTTCTCGCTCGGAAATCTTTTCACCTTCTTACTTGTCACTTTTACGTAACAACACAGTGAATATATTTGCGTCTTCTCTTCATTTTGACCCTATTTTAGACGTTTGACTATTTTGTCGCAAAAAAAAAAACAAAAAAAACATTGGCTGTCATTTGGCATTAGCGTTGACGTTAGATATAGGCTATTGTATCACTGTAGTTAATGATGGAGAAAGGCTATTTATTGAAAAACAATAAGAAATATTTACTTCCTGCAGTGTCTGTGTCTAAATATAAACGAGAAAGCACGAATCCGGTTAAATCTGCAATACTTCAAACACATCTATTCTCTTCTGAAAACATAAATCATCTAATGAGGCACTTGCTCTAAAATGTGCTGTGAGTGTGTGTAGCCTCCATACGGATTGTGTGTGTGTGTGTGTGTGTGTGTGTGTGTGTGTGTGTGTGTGTGGGATAAGATTTGGGATGTTGAGAGCATCGCCTTTGTTATTTCCTCAGGCAGCACAGGAATACTGAGATGAGTGGCACTCAACCTTCAAAATGAACAAGGATCAATTAAATGGCATTTACCTTTCATCTTCACTTGCCAGATATTCTGCCTACGTAATTGTTTGCAATAGAGAACAAAGGATTGAGCATGGTGTCTTACCATTGTGTGCTGTGAGGTATTAATAACTTAAGTAATGGATACACCCAATACTTTGAGGATGGATGTGCTAAGCATCTGTCAGAGCAGTACTTCTGGTTTCTGTGTCATAGTTCTCATTTCATGGTTGAGGAGTCACCGTTTTCTGTGGTTGTGAAATTTTTTTGGGGGGAAAAAAACCTGTTGGAGTCAGCAGTAATCATTGTTTCACAAATGTACATTTTCAATCTCCAGTCTGCCTCTGCACAGGTTGATGGTGGAACATCCATAAAGTAAGCTGTGGGGTTTTTTTCTTCAGCCACTGGTGGCAGTAATTGAATAGCTGCTCTCCAAGTGGCTCATTTTGAATACTGTGGAAATCAGCATAAATTAGCCTGTGGGCTTCCACAAATTGCAATTCAGGAGAGTTTTCAGGTTGCTAGTCTTCCCGTACTGAAACAAAGCGGTCATAGAGATCTGATTTTAAGGAGAGTTACATAAAGGTCATGCAGTATAAATTAAAATGATAAAGTCTTATTAAACCTGAACAGTCTGGGCACCCAGTGTGTTGCCACCCTTTGCTTAATTGAGTTGGATCAGCTTTTGCCCACCACAAAGTATCGAGTGGAAGTAGAGTGGTAGAGAGTGGTTGAAATATGCAGTGTGATATTGTCTTTTGTAAACAAGATTGCTGCCACTTGTGTTCATATGCCATCAATTCAGGTGACACAACTGCAGCTGATGCTGCAAAGTTGCAAATGTACAAACATAACAAAAAAAAAAGAATGTTTTTAGTTCACATTTAGCTGAGAATATAATAAACACAGGCAATACAGATTTAACACAACATGTCTCTATGAAAAAAAACATACCAGTGGAGAACATGCAAATGAGAAAGGACACATTTTTAGTCCATCTCTGGTCCCTGTGGTGTGAAATGATTGTTAACCCTCAGCTATTATTCCTCATGTTTATCTCTCTTTATTTACAGGCATTTGGCAAGTCAAGACATGTCTGAGCTTGACACGTCATATATTGTTCAAAGAGGAAAACATCCATGGTTTCAAAGCCAGGATACTCATCAGTACAATCATTTGTCATGTCGGTGGGCAATTCTTTTTCATAGAATCAATCCAACATTTTTCTCATAAAAAATCTTCTAAAACCATAGTTTTAAATTCTTTAGATTGTTTTTGTCTTATGTCCAACACATGATAAAAGTATGAATATTTTGATGCCCTCTCTGTTTTATTTTTTATCTCACTGCTGTTGTTTTTCTTTTGGACTGTATGCTTTGGCTGATGTACACAGGAAGTATGGAGTCTTGGAGTTTGTTTTTTTTTTAGCTGTGTCTCTTTATGTTTTGATCAGACATTGTCGTGGTTCGTGTTTATACTGTTGTCATGAATGTAGAATAAGCTGGGTTACTTTTGATGCTTAGGAAGGTATCTAAATTGATTATTATGATGCAGGATCTGAAGCTATATGGAGCGTATGTTATGTCACTTCTAATCAGATTCATGGAGTGTATCCTCAGTGGACACCAGAGCTGGAACTGCAGGCAGTAAGAGAGTGAGTCCTGCCTGATTCCTGTAGTATTGGTGTGACTCGTGCGGGTTACGATGCAAATAACATGCAGCAGGGTTTAGCGGGTTAAATTTTGTTACTTCATTTCACACTGGCAACCATGTAGTCAGACACTGGCTCCAAGTTACTTGCAGCAGAATTTTTGTGAGGAAATTGGTTGGTGGAGATGGGGAGCACAATCAGTCACCCGCTGAGCCGAGTCAGACTTATCCTGACACGTCTTGTTACCAGTGTAGGTCCTATGTGACAGCTTAAACTGTGTGACATAGTGCCTCTGCTTGTTTTTGTCCCGAAGCCTAATAAGCCCAGTATTTAGAGGAGAAATTATGAGTTTAAATGTAATCTGCATCTGTTTTGATGATTGATTCATTGTTTCAGCCATTTTTCAAACTAGAATAGAAAAATCATGTAAAATCTGCCTCTTAAATTGACTTGCTGCTTTTCTTTGTCATTCATCATTGTACGCTGAATATCTTTGGGGTTTTGGATTGTTGGTTAACCAAAAAAATAATTTTAAAGACATCACCTGTCACTATTTCTAACAATTATTCACTCAATAAAATAATAAAAAAATCAGCAGAATAAAACAAAATTGAAAATTAGTCATTACTAACCCAGTTACATTAGTAATATTCAAGTATAACTTTCTTCAGACACTGACAGCGCTCACTTTTCCAGGCGAGGCTGGGGGGCCTCCACTGTAAAATGCTCTGTGTGGTTCACACACACACCTGAATGACTTTTGCGTTTCTTAAAGGCAGTGAAGACAAATGTGGCGTATTATTTGGCACTGTGTTTGGTTTGCAAGGTGAAGACATTATTAAGTGTTTTTCGGTTGACATGGAAGAATTCACATGTTTTGCTTTAAATAGCCTTTGCTATGCACGTTTGATTTTTGGAGTAATTGTTTAACATAGTAGGAATGAAGCTGCCTTTAACCTACAGTCTGTAGGCTGACCCCAGTGTGTCAGAGTGCAGCATATCTGAGACAATTTGATCAGAATATAATGATTCTGATTGGTGTTCATATATCGCTTTAACATTTCTGAGAAATGGCCACATCTGTGCACATTAGATAGGCAGTTAAGAGTGTGTGTTGCTACTGTAATGTTGACAGCTCTCATGTTTACCACTCACTGCCCGCCTTCAGAAGGTCCAGCAGACACTTCATCTATCAGTGCAAGATCACACAGTGACTGATAACATCATTAAACTCAGCCCTTGCTCCCCATTGCTCACTGTCAGCAAAAACTCCATTACGACAAGTTCATCTTTTCACCTGGAGCTGTTTGTTGTCAGATCATTGGAAAGCTGAAGTGACTTCAGCCTCATACACAATCAGAAACATTAACAGCTCTTCATCCACTATCACTGTCGCAGCTCTTACCCTCTGGAATCAAAATTGAGCAGAAAGATTACAGAGCTTCTTATTACCAGCTCAGTTTTTTCATCCTCATCATGTCTACGTCAAAAGAAGATCCAACTCATAGGCTAAAACCACAGCAGTGACCTGCCAAAGTCAAGATAATTGATATTTTGATCTCGCTGGGTTAAGGTGTTGACGGTTACAAATGTCAAAGCCTTCAGTCTCACCATCTGTGTGATTGAATTAATACCCTCAGCAGTTATCATACATCTCAATTAATCACAGGCTTTTACAAATGAGACAGCTGAGGGAGCCCTGGGTCTGTTCATGCTACTGCCTGTTCCATACTCATGTCCTCTTTCTTTTGTCTCATTTTTTTCTTGGATGAGACCGTATTGTTTTGTTAAATTGAGCCTCCTTTCCAGTGCTAATGGATCTTCTTTGTTTTTAATATGATGTGCCACTCTGGAGGAATATTAAGACGCACAAAGAGAAAAAAATAAATTAGCTAAAGTGTCAGGCATTTAAAAGAAAGGTATTTTTTTTAAATTCATTGCTTTGATGTTTGAGCTGAAAATAACACTTTTATGCCGCTTTCTGCTGCATAAATCGTTTTCAAGGATCCACACAGCTAATGCAAAGAGGTAGTGTATGAGGGTGGAAACATTACTGGAAAGTTGTTTTAATTCAATCAAACAGACAAGATTTTAAATTGTTTCGATTTGCTTTGTCTATTTATTTATTTAATACTAAACTGAATAGCATTGTGTTTTTGGACCAAATGAAGTAAAATGTTTAAAACCCAGTATAGTCTGTACTTGGTATAGTTTTTTTTAGATGTGTCTATCACTGACTTGGGCTGCCAGTTCAGAATCGACCAGTCCAAATCTTAGTCATGGACATGATTGTATTAGACAAAGTGCAGCCCCGGGATGGCACTACTAAAGGTGACAGTGCTTCTGGATGGTCTATTAAAACATTTTGTTTTTACATGGGACACTATAAACATAGTTGGGTTTGCCTGGATCCCGACCGCTTTCCTTTAAATCAATAAAAGGTGTAATAGAATCATGTCTAATAACAGGAAGTGGTACTACATAAGAAAAAAAAAGCAAACTTAAAACCAAAGACAGAATGAAAAAAAAAAAGCCTGCATCATGGACATTTTCTTGGACAGACTGTTACAGCAGTTGGACTTTCCTCCTTAAAAAGCCAGAAGAGTCAAGGGTAAATAAATCTGCCAAATAAGTGAACGAAACAAGGTGCTGGTCCTAATGAAAACTTTCAGTGTGATAAATGAACCATCTTATTGGCCTCGCTCCTTGGATGCCACATTATGGACCAGAATGGAAATGGGCTTTTCCGGAAAATGCTTCTCACAGTTGTGCCTTAAGGTGTCTGTACAGGATCAGCATTTAGTGCCTCAGTCTGTGCAGTCTGACAACTTGCTGTGCAGCATTTCTCCCAAGGCTGCAATATGTTTTTCGTTTGACGATCTGATGAAGTTTAAAAAAAAAAAAAAAGCACAGGATGAATATATGGATTTTTTAACTTATGCAGTCTAAAGCTTCAGTCTCATCGGTAGTTCTTTGAAAGGTCAGCTTCAAATATGGTCAAAGTTGAAATGTGCTGCGGGGCAAACTGACTTTTCAAGGGTAGTGCTGACATTAGGAATATGCAATAGAAAAACAACAGCTCAGTCAGTGCAGACCTAGTTTGTCATTGATAATGTGTCAAAGCCTTCATGTATGATTGATGAATAATATCTTCTGGTTTTTCCATTGCTTTTAACAAAGCTGTGTATTTAAAATCTTACTGCCAGAATGACCCTCTAATGCCAGACAGATATTAACAGATCGTCTGTGTATGCTTATATAACCCACAGCATCTTGTAACCTAATGGTCGTAATATATTTAAGTAATAATAGGGTCTACATAAAGATACAGAGGCAATCATCATGCAAGACGTTTGAACATGGCTTCTGTGGAAGCTTGGCTCGTTGCCAAACCCTCGGGATTTTACTGTTATTCCCAGTGATGTAGTAGAGCTTTTATGAACTATGCTCAGTGACACAAGAAATCACTTTTTTTTTTTTGTTGGTGTTCTCTGCCAGTGGAGGAGAAAGCCTGGTGAACGACATCATTCTGAGGCCTCACAAGAATAACCAGAAATCATATGTAAAGCCATTTCCAGCTCAGTCTCAGCGCGAGTCATGTCGGCGCCCGTAAACACCCGAGTTGGAAAGTACATGTTATATACAGCAACGTCAGCAGGAATAAAGCTCATTGAGTTGGAATAGCTATATTGCCTTTGTTTTTGTTTTTTTTATAATAGATTTGTATAGCACTCTTGCCTGCAGAGTGGATTCCACTTGAACAATATGTGCTATTATTGTTTGGAGAATAAATGTTAATATTGTCCAATATTAGTTCATAGTCAATACATCCAAATTAGCAAATAGTTATCACCTGCAAAACGCTCTGCTCTCTAGATAGTCTCTTCAATTCCTTAAAACCAAACTTAAGTGATCCTGATTTAAAAATGTTTTTCTCATGCATTAATTAATAAAGCTGTTAATAAACAACAACAGCAAAAGCCCAAACAAACAACGAACGAACATTCGGTTTTCAAACTCTCATAAAGTGATAGTGGCCTCAAAACCACCAACCAAGTCTCCACAGTGATGTGTCAGCGCTGGAGAAAATGGTCTGGCTGCATCCATCATCATTCTGCTACAGGGGATAGAACATTGCCTGTTAGCATTTTTTTTTTTAAAACAATCACAATCATCTGGGGTGCTGCTGAGCCCAGGATGCAGTGATGGTGCCCCGGCAAAATGTCAGAGGGGAACTTGTTTTGGGAGAACATTTGCATGGCGGGGGGTGAGAACTGTCATTAAAATGGCAAAGAAAACCAGTAAGGACGTACATTGACTGTGCGAATCTTGATAAAAAAACTTGTTATTTTCAGCGTGGAGGCCGCTAGCTCAGAGTTTGTTGTTGTTTCCTGTAGTGAAGGGGATTTTTTTTAAAACGGTAACAGGCAGTGGATCCAGAAAGGGAGGAGAATGAAATAGGCGTTCAGTTTCAGCCTCACAACCACAGCCCACATCCACTGAGTCAGACCACAGTGATACCAACTGATCAATATC